CATATCGTTGATAATAGAGGCCTAAAAAGAAGATGCAAATGGATTACTCCTTTCGAGTCAGTGTAGTTTCTGTAAAGTACATAGTATTAGAGTAGAGCAAAGTGGAACACGCCAAAAATTGGGTGATTAATTTATATCGATAACTCTCAATGGTATTATTTTTGTTAAGTACCATAGTTTTAAGAAATTAAAATAAAATAGGTTAGTCGCCACTGACTACTAACAACAAATTTATAAAAAAATTCTACTGTTAAAACAGTGACAGCTTAGACATCGATCGACTATTTTGATTAAGGTACAATTAGGGAACGCAAGACAGATGCATGCGACCGCAACAGGCAGCATACACTGTTCCGAGACTAGTGTTGAACGTGCTGTCGTGGTCTTTTGCCTCGGTCTCGCTGTCTCAATTGTACTTCCTATAATTACACGTGATTCAGACATAAAGAGAGGCATTTTGGTTACCATACACGGTCGCCTGCCTCAGTTTTCTGCGTCGATTTCTCGTTTACAGTAGGCGTTTGAAAGCAATAATTTGTAAAAAAAATTTACGGTTTAGTTGGTCCACACTCTACCTAATAGTGGCCCTAACTAGACAAAAATAGGCAATACACAGGCAATATTCTGAATGCGTATAATCTGGCTAGAGGGGTTAAAAGTCCCGTTCTATATTTTAAGACCAATATTTTCAACTTTTTAGCATCGACATCAATGTTTGAGGTATTAAAGTCTGTTCAAATTCGTAAACGGGTATTACCCAGGATTTTATAGTGACAAGAAAGCAGAGTGTAAAGGAATTAAAAGTTTACTTCACCTAAAAGAGTCTGTAAAAGCTGCATTAGTATCGAGACCCAAAATATGTTATCTCTCTTTGAGCTTTTAAAATTTGTTTTATAGCCACTAATAACCTGGTTTAAAGCACCAGATAAAATAAGAAAATAGAAGAAGTCGCAGACGAGTACATAAATTGCACAAGGTGGTCGAACGCATATAAAAACAATAAAAGTTATTTTATTTGTCGCGTACGCTACTGATCAGCCTCTCCCCGCCGGATTGAATCAAGGGTTTTACTTCCTAATGAAAAAGGAAACGACTGCATCGCTACCAGTGGATTCGGAAAGAATTTAAAACTGAATTATAATTTATCCGTGGAGATATCGCTCTAAGATTTCGTTTGTCATTAACTCGTGTAATTAATCGATTCTTCCTGGGCTGTGTCGACGACAGGATAAGTTTAGATAACATAGGAAGTTTGTTTTTTTGATACCGATCGTTTTTTTACATTTGTAACGTACGTTTATTGCCAAAAAGAAACTATGAAGACGAAATATTTCGTTCTAAAATATGTTTTTCCATTCATGCGGATCAAACTATTCAAATTATGCTATACTATAGATCAACCTAAAATATCATCATGTTTCACAGATCAGATCGATTCTTTGAAATGAAACAAAAACTGAATAATCAGAACTAAAACAAATAAAAGCAGATACGAACAACGGAAAAATTGCCATATTTGCAGGTGATATCGCTTTCCTAGCAACAGGAACGAATGTGAAATAAGATAAACAAAAACGAGTTACAATGTTTTACTAAAAAATTCAACGAATGAACCAGAAAGAAATTAAAATTTAACGAAGAAAAAATAGGTGATTCTAAAAACTAAATAAAGTTCATTTACTGGAAGAAATACGGTACAAAATACAAATAGGAAGGTACAAATAACAACTTCAGACAACAAATAACCCCTGGCAATAAGTCTGAGACATGAATGCAGGTTTGAAATCATTTTGTGTTTGACGGTAAATAAGAATTTTGAAAATAAAACCAACAATCAACGAAAGCATTTTTATCATAATAAACTAACTGGTAGGTGCATATGAAAAAAAAAAAAAAAACGAAATATCTAAAATCTAAGTATGAATCTAGAAAAATTTATTGGCTCTTATACAGAAAATTTTAAATGACAATACACAACTGATAACTGATCTTATAAAAGCAGATTCTCAAACCCAATTGGATATTGAATAAAGAACTAAATAGGTGCAAGTTATCTTCGTCTCAATGTACGAGTAGTTTAAATGACTATTTTGTCAGTCAAATTCTTATCTAGTGATATAAAATATACATTAAACAATTATATTTTAGAACATTATCAATTATTACTGAGGCCCTTCCCATGGGGCCTCAGTATTGCATTCGTGCAGACGAAAAAAATTTCTGACCCTAATTTTTTAAGTTTTTTTCATGTTTCTGATCATTCTGAATCCCAAAATCCAAAAAAAAATTTTCGTCTGGTCTACTGTATGTATGCCGGCACGATAACGCTAGAACAAAAGTTCTGATTGACTTGCGGTTTTAATTTTCTTGAATAATTACTTCTAACTTACAACCCTATTGATTTTCAGAAATTTCGGTTCATCCTAACTACTTTAATAACAATTTTCTTAAAATCAGCCTATGTATTCCTTATGTGAATAATTTTAGGAATTTCAACTATTTCTAAATTTAAAATTCCTAACAGTCTTCACATTCCATAAATTGCAAACATTCTCTAACGACCTGTCAAACAACAGCTGTTGATAGTAAAGGTGAAATTTCCAAGGCGGGTTGCGACCTTTTGGAGGCTATTTTCATTCGAAATTAGTCGCCAAGCCTGCCAATTTATGAAAAATATATAAGAAGTTTCTTAAAAATAGCTTTTTATGGTAATGCTATTAAGCGTACTATTTCGCCCCTAGCCACAAAAACACAATTTCTCTGTCGCAACCCCATAGAATATTTAACCGGCCATTTTATTTAGTAAAAATCAAAATAATTCATGGCTGTGCCTGTCAAGTATCAAGATGTCAACTGTGATATGTGAATGGTTCCTAAATGTCAAATTATTTAAAAATGTATACTTCTTTTGATATTTATTGCAAATAATAAATATCTCAATTCAGGCTTTCCATAAATAAAAGTACAGCAAGACAGATAATATTATGTTCTTATTTCTTATACAAAGCACTTTTTTATTATATAAAAGAGAGGTAGGATATAATGTCCATTTCAAATTTGGATCAATTATGATACCAAGGTATTTTGTTGTGTTTTTCATTTTAATTATAAAGTTGTCATTTATTTGTATGTTGAAAGAAGGCCTTTGTAAATCACATTGCTCTCTATGGATCTACTTTAACACAAAAATAGTTTTGTCGCTATAAGTTGTCTATCTTCACAAAACTAATAATAATTTAAACATAGTAAGTGGTATTAATATAACATCAAGTAATTTTTTAAACAAGTAATTTTTTAAAATAAAGTACATGATCTCAAAACAAATAATCTATAATAAATGCGGATAAAACGAGGGGTAAAATTACAATAAATTAAAAGAAATACTTAAAAAGGGCAGGTTTAAAGAGTATTATCACAAGAAAGTATATCCGTTCTGTTTATTTATCAAGTATTGTTTGAGGTTACTTTTGAATACATTTATTGTTTTTTTTTTTTTAATTTCTGTAGGCAGTCTATTAAATTTTTTAAACCTTTAATAAAAATTGTATTTTGGGAACTTTTGGTAAAGGCTTGCCGTACATGAGAGTCAGATTGGTTTCGTGTATTATAGTTATGATATTGCGAATTATATTGAATTTTTTCTAATAGATCTGATGCGATAGTACTGTCATTTTTATTTTATAAATAAATATCAGTCATGTACTGAACATAATTCTGAACTGAAAGCCAATTTATTTCTTTTAACATAGCTGCAATACTCATCCTTCTGTCCTTTACTAATAGAATATAAATAGGCGAAATAAGAAGCCCAAATATTTTACATGAGCAGGCTTAAGAGGTAAAGGGGCCAATTATTATTGGATAAATTGCTCAAACAAGTTTTTAAACCCTAATCAAAAGGCGATATAGAATGGTTTTAAAAATCAAGGCGTGAAAATCATCACATGGTTTAACCAAAGTAACGCCAATGCTTCAAAAACCAAAAAATTCAACGTGCTAATACTACTATCGGCTTTCGGTATTTCGTTCCAAGTTAAATCACTTCTCGTTTTTGTTACGCTACGAGTTTACTCTTGTGGGCCTCAGTCTCGATAAGGTGGGAACCAACATTGTAGCGTCTCTGGAATTTAATTTTTGATTATTTAATTGCATTTTTATTATTTTTTCACATTATTGGTAATAGCATAACAACCGAGTATATAATTACTATAATCATCTGTTTTTTAATCAAAATATTATTTTTATAAATAATAATTTATTAATAATTACGGTTTTGCGGATTGCCTTTTAACAAGGTAACGAGTAAAATGGGCGACACTTAATCTGATCCCTATTTAAAACAAGCTAGTGAACTAACAAGAAATCAGACTGTAAACACGAACCCTCTCAACAAGTTGTAGAAGTTGACATAAATGAAGAATCCCACCTTAAAGAAGAAATTAAACTTTAATTAATATCCGATAAGTGACATGTAATCATTTTACTCAATGAAAAAATATTTTTATTGAAAAATAAAATTTTATTATTTAATAAAAGTCTACCAACACTATATATCAAAACAGAATTTAAAACTTGCACCAAATAGATACAGTAAGTGATACAGAAACCTTATCTGAAACAAAAAACTAAATAAATATAAACATCAAGTCAATTTATTATCACCATCAGACTCAAACATGGAAACTTCTAATATACAGGATGGTCCAATAATAAAGGTTTAATAGTTTCTAGCTGAAATCATGAGAGTGCAAACTAAACAAACAGTAAATGAGGTAATCAACTTAGTTAATGACAATCAGGCAAGTAAGAAACTCACAATACCATTAATAAATGAAACTAATCAAAATCCATCTGATGACAAAGAAGGATATATTGCAGTAAAAAGGAAAACAAGAAAAACTTTTCTTGTCACGAGTTCCTGACATCGCCATAGAAAACAATTTAAAGGCCTAGAGCACAAAATATGTATGTAAAAAGACTTACTTTGTCCGACCAAATAACTAAGCCTTCATAAGAGGAGTTGATCCTTTTCTACAAAAAAAAGTTTATAACAATTTTTTTTATCAAAAAACGCGTATTTCAGACAAGGTCAATAGTTCCTGGACAAGCCCTTTCACCATTTCTAATCTCAACCAAGTGGAAACATTTCCACACATTTAAATGAAAATTTTTGGAAACCAGCCTCACCTGTATCTCAGACTCCACCCTAAATAAAAACGAAACTGATAAGTATAATTTACTTCATCCAAAGTGAAGCCTATAAAATCAATATTTTAGAATTGAATCAACCAACATTATGTATTTCTGAGCACTGCATGTGCGAAGATGAATAATTAAAAGCTTCCAAAATTTAAAATTATTAACTAGTTTCTTGTACACACGTAGCAACGTAGCAATTTAATACACGGTAGAACAGCTATATTAATTTGTAAAATAATTATGTACTGACATAAGTAACCTCGTTAAATTATTATTGAAACTTCATTTCCAGTATTTGGCAATTATAGTTAACAAAAGTCTGTATATTATAACTATGTACAATGGCTCTTTTACAAAGTCTCACCCATAAATCTTTCTTGATAAGCTAACTGATACTCTACCTTACATCACAACTAAATATACATTTTTTATCCTTAGTGGCGACTTTAACATTGATTTTGAAAAAAATTGTTACTATAGGAAACAGCTATTTGACATATTACAAATGTTTAATTTAAAATGATAAATTATCATATAGCAAACCAACACGTACTAACATCAAGTGGTCTAGACTACGTTGTAAGTAACATCAGAAATCATACCTCCAAATTTATTTAAGTAAATTCAATACCAATCGGAAATACTATCTTGGTCGTTACAAATCCCAATCAAGCAAACGTCATATAATAATATAATAAGGAAATTTAATAAAAACTCGTTATTGGAATTTAAGACCTTATATACAGGGTGTTATTGAAATACACGTACATATTAAAACTGGGTATTGCGCAGATCCCCACTGAATGTAGAAAAATATTATTTTTTAAAAGTACCCCTTATTAAGGGAGTTATTAATTTTTGAAAATTAATTCTAAAACAAACGTACTTCACTGATATGTTGAGGATGACCTATATAAATTAGGTTTATTTACCTATTTTAAACATCAACAGTAATTAATATGCAAGTTTTTGTCAGATGATAAGAAAACTAGTCTTGTAAGAAATAACCATGTTGCCAAGATTTTCGAATTAATTTCTATTTCCGAAGACTGGTTTTTACTACCCTCGTTATCAAAAAACTAGAATATTTGATAAATGATTGTTTTTAAACTATACATTTTTGAAACTATAGATTATTAAAATTTTAGTTGATTTACGAATCTGGCTAACACGAGCGCGTCATTTCCAAGTTGGTAAAAAGTGTTGTTACGATTACTTTTAAATATTTTTTTACGATGCCACTATTTACGAATATTGAACTAACGGATATAGTGCTGGTTTATGGGGCAGCTGGAGAAAATTCTCGGCAAGCACAAATCCTGTATCGCGAACGGTTTCCAAATCGGAGAATTCCGGACTGTCGTACGTTTATTTCAACTGTTCAGCATCTAAGAGACCATGGAAAATTTGAGAGTGTCAATGCAGATCGAGGGAGAACAAGAACACAAAGAACATTGGCGGCCGAAGAAGAAATATTGGAAGCTGTTGAAAACCGGCCTCAATTAAGTTGTAGAAGACTAGGTCTTGAAATTGGAGTGTCCTCATTTGTTGTGTGGCGGACACTTAAAGAACAAGGTTTACATCCTTATCACATCCAAAAAGTCCAGGCCTTATATCCAGGTGATGAAGAAAAGAGAGTGGAGTTTTGTGAATGGATGATTCAAAAATGTGTTGATATTCCTGATTTTCTAAAAATATTATTGTATACTGACGAGGCTTCATTCACTCTTGATGGCGTGTTCAATATGCACAATACGCATATTTGGAGTGATGAAAATCCTCACGCCATTAGGGAAACTGGGCATCAAAGAACATTTTCAATAAATGTTTGGGCTGGCATAATAGATCAGTATTTAATCGGGCCTTATGTTCTCCCGAACAGATTAAATGGGCCAGGATATCTCCACTTTTTAGAAGATATTTTCACAGTACTCCTAGAAGAGATACCGTTACAATTAAGGCAACGGATGTGGTACCTACTAGATGGCGCTCCTCCTCACTTTGATTTAAACGTACGGCAGTTTTTGAACATTAGATTTCCTCAAAAGTGGATAGGCAGAAATGGACCTACTAAGTGGCCTCCGAGATCTCCGGACTTAAATCCATGCGATTTCTTTTTGTGGGGTCACATGAACCAACTGGTTTATAATGAACCTATTAATAGTGTTGAACAATTAACCAATAAAGTTAATGCGGTAGCCGAGGAACTACGACAAAATCCAAGACTAATTTCTAATGTTCAAAGTTCTTTGGAAAGACGATTGCAAGTGTGTGTAAATAATAATGGACGGCATTTTGAACAATTACTGTAATAAACTTTATTTTGAATTAATTGGTTTTGCTACGGCAACAGTGCAATTTCTATGGGTAAGTTCAATTTCGATTTATTTTACTTCTTTAAATATGGAAACTAGTAGGTCGGAAAAGGGGACTCTTCCCCAATATTTAAATTTTAGAATTTGAAGTTAAAATTGGTGCCAATCGTTTTTGGTCATTACATACTATTCCCCATTTTAATGTATTTCAATAACACCCTGTATATTATATAAGCATCCTAAAATTGAAGATCATTGATTGTGTGTTTGATGATTTTATGTTACATTTTGAGTGGGGCTTTGAGGTAGCATTTTCGAAACAAAATATAGTGCAACACGCTAAACACAGAAACCAAATACCCTTCTCGAGTCAACAACACTCTAAACTTAAACAATTAAAAGAAATTAAATTGGTTAAGACAAAAAGCCAATGATCCTTTCTTAACAGAATATTATAAAAAGCAAGACAAATCTCTCAATATAAAACTGTGCAACGAGAAAAAGTATACCATTCTAAGATAATTAACAATTCAAATAACAAAGATAAATCTCTGTGGAATTTGATCAACTCAAAACGGGATCGAGAAAAATAAAAAAAAAGAAAATAATTTTGTCAAATAATAGAACCACCATAACTGGAAAAAAAGAGGTTGTAAACACATTCGATCACTACTTGAACAATTTAAATATGACCCTTAATTCTGGCACATCAAGTAAGTTAAAAGGACCGAATTCAATGGTGTTACGCTTTTTATTTTTGCTTTTAATTTGTTTGTACGTTGTAGATATTGCAACACAATTTTTTAGTATATCAATAAATTTGTTTGTTTCAGATTCTACGTCATCACAGTCGAACACATAATTCCAATGGATAATTTATTTTACTATACCTATTTTACTGGATATATTATTTTGTTTAAAAAAACGACGAAAAACTACTAGTCCATTATTTTACCCAAGGGGAATTGGAAACACACACGTTGTTATCCATATTATACTCGTAGTTGCAAATTATTACGGGATAGTTTATGTATAAGGATTATTTGCGGTTATAATTCAGAATTTACTCAATAAAAGGATATAAAACGCTTAAATGGCCTTCGAAATTACATTAAGGAAGGAAGGGGTATTTAATAATTAATTTTAAAAATCATACTTGTAGCAAAAAAAAATTTTTACTGTATCTATAGAAAACAAAAGGGTTGCATTAACTACTGTATAAATGTCAAACATAATCATCGCAATTTGGAGAATTGTTTTTAACCCTGGAGCGAGCGCGTTGGTGCAATTTTGCTACCAATGTCAAATTGAGTGGGGGTGTGGTAAGATTTCGTTACCTATTTACGCCGTACGTCTCAATATCTTCCTAGCAGTTGCTTAGTAAGTGTTAGCTGTGTCTATTTGATAATAATTCACAAATCCGTTCAACTTGTCGCAGCCTAATTATTTGAGGATCATATTTGCTACCACGCGCCCGGGCATGTAAGTAGAATTTTTAATGACATAATAAAAGTAATAGTTTTTGTTTTGTTTTTTGAAGCTGAAAGGTTTTAAAATATTACTGTACATCTTCCAATAATATTTTTGAAATTACTTTTTTAAATAATTATTAATTCATTGTAGGTCCAAAGCGCTTTCTGATGAAGAGCTTCGGCTTATTTTAGAAGAAAAAACAAGCATAGAGGATGGAGATGATGTCAATGACAAAGAATGGAGTGAGAGTGACGAAGAAATAATTACTAAGGATGACCCAGAATCAAATTCGGAGTTGGACTATGATGATAACGAAGAAACTAGGGATGAGTCAGTTTCTGATATAGAGTTGGAGCAAGAAGATGAAACTGGCGAGCAATACTAGGTATATCGGTAGAGACAAAAAAACAAAATAGCGGAAAAAGCATTACCATCTCAAAACTTCAAAGAATAAATCAAAAAATATCGATAAAACAATTCCCGGTCCTAAAAGTACGGCCAAAAATATAGAAACAGAATCAGAAGATTTTTCAAAAATAATAGATGATAATATTATAAGTGAAATTTTACATTACACAAATTTGTATATAACAAGAAAACGAAGAGAAGTAAATTATAGTAGAGATAGAGACGGTAAAGTAACAACTAAATCAGAAATAATGGCTTTGTTGGGTATGCTATTTTTGATCGGAACGAAAAAAGGAAGTCGTACTAACGTGAAAGAATTGTAAGCAAATGATGGAACAGGTCTGCCCATTTTGAGAGCGTGTATGAGTTATAAGCGGTTTTTGTTGCTATTAAGATCCTTGAGGTTTGATGATAGAGAAACACGGAAACAGCGTAAAACAATTGATAAATTGGCAGCAATTCGAGGAATTTTGGATAAATTTGAAGATAATTGTAAGAAACACTACAGTTATAGCGAATTTTTAACCATAGATGAAAAACTGGAATCTTTTAGAGGTAGGTGTAGTTTTATTCAGTATATTCCAAATAAGCCTGCAAAGTACGGACTAAAAATATTTGCACTTTGTGACGCAAAAACATATTATACAAGCGCAATTGAAGTTTATTGTGGCAAACAACCAGAAGGACAATATTGTTTATCCAACAGCCCGTATGATATAGTACATAGACTTACTAGACATATAAAAGGAACTAACCGCAACCTTACCACTGACAACTGGTATACTAGTTACCTTTTAGCATGTTCACTTTTGAAAGGTAAAATAACGATGATTGGAACTATGCGAAAAAATAAGGCAGAAATACCTCCAGAACTTCTGCCACACAAGAATAGAGCTGTGGGGTCATCTTGTCACGGTTTTCAACAAGAAGTGACTATGGTATCATACGAGTATGTTCCAAAAAAATCAAAAGCCGTAGTATTGCTTTCTACTATGCATGATGAAGGTACAATTCATGAGTCTGGAAAACCGCAAATAATACTTCATTATAATATGACTAAAGGTGGCGTAGATACAGTTGACCAATTATGTAGTGGGTATTCTGTATCACGTACAACTAGGAGATGGCCGTTAGCATTATTTTATGCTTTACTAAATGTTGCAGGAATTAATGCACAAATTTTATTTGTTAGTAACCCAAAAAATGAGAAAGCCCAAAGGCGATTCTTTCTCAAAAATTTATCGTTTCAACTAATGAAGCCTCATCTAGAGGATCGATCGAAACTTTTAAATCTACCGTCAGATATTCAATTATTTCTGAAATCTTATAAGCATCCAGAAGTTGAACCCCAAAAAGATGAACCTAGAAAAAAGCGTGGACGTTGTACTATTTGCGGAAGACAAAAAAATAATTTACATCGACGATGTGTGACAACTGTGACAATTTTGTATGCGAAGAACATAGTGAAACTAGAATTAAATGTGACCACTGCAAAAGCAACAATTTGGTACAAAGCGACGAAGAGGATTAGAAATAATATGTGTGTAAACTCTTTTTAATAAATAATGTATTTTATTTTCAATATTATATATGTGAATAAAACAAGTTTGTTAAAAAAATATTGCTTTTTTTGTATGGTAGCATATTTGCACCACGCGCCCGCTCTTGCAAAATTAATATGCGCGCCTGCTCCAGGGTTAAACATGTAGGTACACACTTTATAAATGCATGGCCTACAAGATCGCCTGATCTGAACCCAGCGGATTACTAGCTGTTAGATTACTCAAAAAATTGGTAATTAGAATACGACCAATAATACTGGAAGAGTAAAAAGACCCTATTAGAAAAAAATTGCTGCTAAATAATGCTGCGACAATTTGTAGGAATATTTACGTTAACCGCTGTTAGACATAATAAATCCCATTATTTAGGGAATAAAATCTCTTTAATATCTGATTGTTATCTCAAATAATTCAAAACGTTTTTAAAAATACAAGTTCGTCACCAGTGGCAAGACCAAACTATTTTTTAATATAAAAACATTGATTCACATTTGTGAATTGCATAATAACAAATGATAGCATCATTTTTCATCTAGCTCTTATCATTGGGCCCACTGCTTACAAGCTGCAACGATCAAAATAATAATAATAAAATGCCTCATCCAAGCAAGAAAACGCAGACCATTACCGCCAATACTTGCCATTGATGTTCAGAATAAGCCACCTGCTACTGATTTCACAATATTTAAAATGATTAAAATCAGCAATCTACACCCGTTTGTTAAAAATTACTTGGGTTTCACATCGCATCAAGCATTACAAATATAAGTCGGCATTGCAATAATAAATTAAACATAAATCTTCTTAAAAGCAAGGAAGTGTTTAGTTGTATATCTACCTTCAATGTAACAACAAAGTTTACATCGTTTTGATATTTACTGGAAGTACATTTTACTCATCACTGATTTTTCATGAAAATTAGAAAAATATTCGTGATGGATTAGACATTTATTTCTGTAAATATTGTTGTTTGTCGTTGATTTGAAACTAAGATTTGGAAGTATAATCTCTGCAAAAGACGTAAAATGATCTGTGGTATTTGTTTCTGTAGTTAATAATAATATTTTCACAATATTGTTTACTAAATGTAATCCAGACATGTATCTGAGTTTGGATAATGGAAAAAAATGTTACTGTACTAACCTTCACTAAGATCACGTTTCTTCCGCAACCTGTGATCTACCCGTCCTCCTTTAACGAACTCTACAAAGTCGTACTGTGTAACACTCGGCACCACATTCCTCCTTCCGTATACGGCGAAACTAGCTCCCCACGGCAGCGTAAAATTGAAATTAATAAACGCTGGTTGTTTGTTACGAAATTCGCTGTTCCAGAATTGATAGGGCGGAATCGTAGCCGTATGGAGCATGTCCAATTCCGTTTGCTCTAGCAGCGGTAACGGAGACCACTGAGTTTGAGGCTGCTGTTGCTGTTGTTGCTGCTGTTGCTGCTGCGACGGCTGTTGGTGTTGGAGGGAGCTATGTACTGTCGTTGCACTCGCTGAATGTTCCGCGGTACTCGTCGGTAGAGATTCTGTAAGAAAAATAAATGGAATTTTAGTGTAAAAAAATAGTTTCTTGAAAAAATGTACTTAGTAAATATATATTATACGATTTTATGAGACTGTGCACTACTGTTGCACTACACACACATTTTTATATATTTTCTATCAGCGTCAAACTTATTCGACTTGTCAAATGTAAATGGTAATAATAAATGAAGTCGAAGTTATTTTATCAGAGTGAAACTTACTGAAACCTAAAGAATTGAATTTCTGATAATGCTTGGTTGTAAAGGCACATAGAAGTTTGTGCTTTATTTAACAATAAACATTCCAACCGAGAACTAATTTTGCAATCAAGCGTAAGCAAAATGGGGAAGAAATTCTGAGAAATGGACAATATAGGAGACCTTTATAAAGGTAGTACAAAACAAAAAGTAGAATACAAAAACATAAATCGTAATATATAAAATAGGCAACCGAGGTAGCTTTTAAATAGATCGAAATTAAACGACATGTTAACGCCGATTGCCACTAAATTTTCAGAACTGATTTTAATTCGGGCAGTGCCCGGCTGTCTTATAACACAAACAACTCAATGTTCTACTAACGTCTAAACAGAGTTCTCACACCAGTTCACGGCAAGTTGCATTCTATTATAACATCTGAAGTCTTAGAATGTTAAAAAAAAGTTACTTTAGTTCAGGTGCTTCTGAAAGTGGACTTTGATAGATGAATTGATTGCAAAATAAAAAAAAATGTATGAAACAAATATCAACATATTTTTTCGGATGGTCTACATTCATTCTAAGCGGTCTTATAACTCGTCGGACGTGTAGGTATTGGGCTATGGAAAATCCACATTGTCTGCAACATATACTCTATACCAGGAGAAATTGAATGCATGAGCAAGATTAATAGATAGTAGAATTATAGAACCGTACTGTGCTCTCTTGGTGAAAAACTACTTGAACTACGTCTTTTCAGAAGTGAATTTAGGCGAAAAAGGTTAATAAAATGGCTACAAAATTATCTTAAATTATTATATGGGGATATTTAAAAAGTAAAGTATTGTAACGGTTGGAACCGTTGTTCTTTATTTCAACACAATCATCTCTTACTCAAATCTTCTACTTGTCGTTTTCTTCTTCCTTGATTCGTATTGTGAGAATTATTTTTGACTTGGATGTCAACGAATTAACTTGATTTGAATATCAATATATCTAGGTCATCCTATATATTATATTTTTTTAATATTTTTATTGGCCGTCTGATTTTATAAGGTAAGTTTTAATACTAATATATTGTTATATATATTTTTTATACAAGGATTTCTTAATAAATTGTCAAGTTCCGAACATAACCTCAATACCTATCAACAATGAGTAACACACATGGTTAATTTATGTATTATTTTTTTGGAATAAGATGTATGTTTGAATGTATTAAATAAGATTTTTCCTTTTCATGTTAATTTTAGTCTCTGTGAAATTATTCATTTAATAGTTTTAAATTGTTTATTTAATAGTTAAAGCATTTTATCTAAATCCTATTTAATTTACCTTTTTCCTATGATATCATTTTAATCCTTTTTTAGCATGGCTATATCTAGACGGTTTTGAATTCCTTTCAAGATGTTTTATGGTTTTTATACCTAGAAGTTTGTTTTGGTTTTGAGACGATCTGAAGACAATTGTTTGAATATCTCTAGACATTTTATGGACTTATACCTAGACGTTTTGGTTTTGGTACAATCTGAAAACCGTTGTTTTTTTCATCTCTAGAAAATCTAGACAGTTTCGAGTTTAAGTTAGAATACCAAATATCACGAGATCATTCACGTTGCAGAATTACGAATAAGGATCCCAAATCCCTTTGAGGAAGTTGCCTGAGGATATACCATGCAATAAAACATTCCTTATACTATTTTATTTAATAAATCATCTTAAATTTGAATTTAGTAAAACTATGTGAATTAGAATTTGATATCTACCTTACCTAAAGCATGGTTTAAATATTATTTGTTAGTGGTTAGTGATTTTCTATATTTTTATCACAAATTTAGAGTCAAGTATAGTAAGCTTTAAATATAGTGGTGCCCAACTTCTTTTTCAAAGTTATTCGAGTTATTTAATAACCTAACACCCAATCAATTAATTTCAAACACATTAAACAAGTAGATAGAATAACTAGAGACCACGTTACAAAAATGGCGCCTTAACTGGATTAAATAGCTCTTAACTTTAAAATAGTTTTCTTATAACTTATCGTTCTAATTCCTATAGGTATTTCACAGAGGTTAACTATACTAACTGAATGTCTTGTATATTTTTACTAATACTTTCTTACCTCTTATTTTAACCTTTTCTATAAATCTACATATCGTATCGTCAAGTTTTATGTAATATCTGCATTTTGTACTAGATTTAGTGTTTATTTATGGATGATATATCTACATATTCATTCTACACTGATAAAAGTGTATAGTATATGATTTTTACCTAAAGTTGATTTTTGTGCCTATCGAGTAAATTTTTTTTTCTTTAGTGATAAAATTTGTGCCTTCATTTAGTTAAATAACCTCTTTATTAAAATGATTTCCAAATATTTGAAGACTCATAAGTTAACCTATGAAATTTTAATCAGAGGGGTAGACTTACCTTCTACTGTAGAACACAAAAGAAAGCTTTTGAATGGTTTGTTATCTCAAGAGTCACACAATAGAAGTTTTTCAGAGACAAATAATCCTTATGATCATGAAGATGATATCACAGAAATGGAATTGTCAATTAAAAAAGTCAATACAGAAATAGAAAATTTAACTGCTAATAAATCTGATTTAGCTTTTAAACGAATTAATTCTAGATAAGTTCGCTTGTCTAATAGGGTAGCCAATTTAAAAGTAGACTCTGATGAAGAAGTTACAGCTCAAAAAACAATAAAAACAAAAATAATCATGTTAGAAACTGATTTATCACAAAAAATTAATAATAATTCTTCTAGTTTTAACTCTAGTACTGTATCTACAGAACAAGTTAGTTGCCTTCATATATAAGTGTAGACTGTAGATGTTCATAAATGAGGTGTATTTTATGATAAAAACAATTCGTTGTTTGATTTTTTGGAATATGTTGAAATGTTAAGATTGTCTAGAAGTCTTTCGAAACAACAAGTGTTTCAACGTAGCTGTGATCTTTTAAAAGGTGATGTTCTATTTTGATATATTAATAATTGTTCTTAATTCACTGACTAAACAATTAAAATTACATTTCTTACCTTGCGACTATCAATATAATTTAAAATTAGAGATTTAAATTAAAAACAACTTAATTCTGAAAGTACATTATACATTTCTCATATTATAGAAAAACTATCTTGCCAGATGAATGTAGAAGAGTAAATATTAAAAGAAATATTTTACCTACCTTTATTTCTCAGTTAGCATTGCAAGACCCTAAGACTATTGATGAATTGTTTATTTTATGTAAGAAGCTAGAAGATGCTCAAAGTTTATCTCCAAATTTTAAATATCCCTATGTAAATAATACTGGTGCTTTTGGTAGTAATAATTTTTCAACTAATACTAACCAGTAACGTATTAACAATAGTCAATCAAATAAAAGTAAATTATCTAATGTTTCTTGTTATAACTGTGGTAAAATTGGACATACTTATTCAACATGTTTTTCTAAACGGAATATCTTTTGTTATCGCTGTGACTATAAAAATAAAACATTAGTGAATTGTTCTAATTCAAAAAACGGAATACAGACCTCAAGCTCTGGCTACGGGCCGCAGTCTTACAAATGTTCAAAATTTGCCAGGACCATCTCAAAAAAACAACTCACAAGGTTCAAAAAACAGGAAACAAAGTTAACTTCCATAGCAGAATGGAAACAGTATCTATCTTTTGTAAAAAATTTCCCTAATAAAATATCTAACTCCAGTGCCATACCTAAGAAAATTTCATATAACTTTAAAAATGATAGAGTTTTAATTAATGACAGTATCTCACCAACTCTAATAGTAGGGGATGGGTCTAACATACAGGTTGTTCCTCTAAACAATAACTCAAGTCCATTATTTTTTAAGAAACTAAATGATAATAAGCCACATTTAAAGGTTAAAATAAACAATATTGAAATATTAGCTTTAGTAGATACGGGTTCTAATTCAACAATTTTAGGTCAACAAGCTTTTAATATTATCCATAAAATAAATACACCTATCTTATATGATGATGACTTAAGTGTAACTACCGCTGATAGTGTTTCACAAAATGCATTAGGTTTTATAAATGTACCGGTCAATGTTGATAACGATTTATTTGAAGACGATGATAATGAAGTCATACCTTACGTTAATAATGATACTTTTGACAGTGAATAATATATTCTGTAATTTCCTTGATTTCCACACCGTTCCTTTTAATAAGCTACAATATTACTAAATTGTCATAATTAATATCAGGCCAGAATATTATATCAAGCTTTTTCTACTATTACCTACACGACTAAGTAATACCGCCTGTAGTCAATTTTTTTCCTTTTACACCATTGGAATATTTATGAATCAGACCAGACATTACCTTCTAACTTATAACTGTCTGCTACTGCTTATTTTGTAAAGCAATACTGTCTGTAATAGTTACCTTAATTTTTGGTAATATGTATTCAGTTGCTAATAGTATTTACTATTTAACTGAACCATTAGGATTTTTTTTTTTGATTGGTAGTAAATTTATATATTGTAATTAAATTTGAGTAATATTTTAATTTGATAGAACATTACCTTTTCCTTAAATTCAGTTTTAAAATACCTAAGTTGACTTTGAACTATTTTATCTAGAATTTCGTATTTTTATATGGTTAAGTACCTTACTAGTGTATAACTAATTGATTCCGAACCAACTTTAAATTACATTTAAATACAAGTAGTAAAAGTTTGTATATCTTTATTCTTTTTTCAATTATAATTTTATAATTTGAGAATTTATGCTTTTTAGCAATATTATTGGATACCTCTGTTTTCA